TCTTGGGAGAAGTGCAGCTGGAATGCTCCTTAGAAATGAGAAAGGCCAGACTTCATCTCACCTATTTGGGGCACGTTTTCAGAAGGGACCAGTCCCTGGAGAAAGATATCATGCTTGATAAAGTGGAAAAAGAAACAAACTCACTGCCATTGAGTCGATTCTGACTCATAGCAACTCTTTTGGGTTTCCAAGGTGGGAAATCTTTTCAGGAGTAGATTGCCCAGTCTTCCTTCTGCGGGGTGGCTGGTGGTTTGAATGGCCAGCCTTCTGGTTAGCAGTGAAATGCCTTGGGCCCTACACCACTAGAGCTCCTTTGGTAAAGTGGAGGGCCAGGGAATTAGGGGAGGTCCCTACCTGAGACGGCTTGACACAGTGGCTGCAGCAGGGCTCGGGTGTAGCAAGGATCGTGAGGGTGGTGCAGAGCCAGCAGTGTCTTTGTTGTGTGTATTCAGGGTCGCTAGGAGTTGGAATCAACTGGAAGGCACCTATCAGCATTAATGATCTTTCTGGGAGGATTGCCACGTCTTCCTCCTGTGGAGTCATGGTGGGTTCAAACTGTCCACCTTTCAGGTCGAAGCTGAGCACTTAACTATTGCACCCCCGGCACTAAATGAGCCCGTCATTTGCTATGTCCTCCGCCCATGAAGCTAAGAGCTCAGCGGGAAGGCGTCCCCTGGGGGGCCTCTCCTCCGGGCCCTCCGCCTCCACACTCAGGCAGCACTTTGGGTCACGTGTCGGAAACCACCCACTGGACACGGCAGCTACGGAACGCCGCTCGCTTCCAGCCACTGGCCTCGTCAGCGGAGCAGAAGTTCTCCACCGTAACCCGTATGTGAGGCTCCTGCAGGGCCTGGGCCTTAACAGCCCTTGGCACCTCACCTGCATCCTTTGGGATTCAGCAGGTGTGGCGCGGAGCTAGGGAACAGGCACGTCTAACAAGTGCCTAAGGCATGTGACTGCTAACCAGAAGGCCAGCGGTTCAAACCCACCAGCCACTCCTCGGAAGGAAGACTAGGCAATCTACTTCCATAGAGATACTGCCTTGGAAACCCAAGGAGGGGTCACTGTGAGTTGTAATTAACTCAACAGCAGTGAGTTTGGAAGGTCTAGTGCCATAGTGCCTAAGGCGTCTGACTGCTAACTAGAAGGCTGGCAGTTCAAGCCCACCAGCCACTCCTTGGAGAGAAGGCTGGGCAATCTACTTCCATAGAGATACCTCCTTGGAAACCCAAGAAGGGATCACTAGGAGTTGGATCCGACTCGACGGCAGTGAGTAACAAGTTCCCATGGAGCCTTGGTGGTGCAGCAGCAAAGCACTCGGCTGCTAATCCATAGCATCAGGGTTGGAACCCACCAGCCTCTCTGCAGGAGAAAGATGTAGCAGTCTGCTTCTACAAAGACGGCAGCCTTAAAAACCCTGTGGGGCAGTTCTACTCTGTCTGCTAGGGGTACTGTAAGGCTGAACCAGTGTGACAGCAGTGGGTGTGGTTTGGCTTTTGCTTCCATAAAGACTGAAAGTCTGGGAGACCCTGTGGGGCAGTTCCACTCTGTCCTCTGGGAGAGCTGTGAATTGGAATCGACTTGACGGCTATGGGTTTGGCTTTTAGTTTTTGGAACAAATTCCCAGGTGGCCCAGAAGCCAATGTCTGGGGCCCACACCCTGAGAGCCACAGCCGTGATGACTCTCCCTGCTGTGCCCCCAGTGAGCACTGAGGTCAGCACTGGCCCACATGTCCTCTGGTTTCACAACAGGGTCTACTGTAGAGGGCCCCTCCTCAGAGCCTCTGTGAATGTCTCAGAGTGTCACTAAAGCAAGTGTCTGATGCCATGTGACCCAGCCATTCCAGTCCTAGGTGTGCACCCAGAATAACTGAGAGCAGGAGCATAAGCACGTGCCCCAGTGTCCGTGGCAGCATCATTCAGGAGCAGTGGGGTAGGAACATCCTGCTAGCCCGTTAGCAGGTACAGGGACGGTGTGATCTGTGCACAGTGGTGTAACATCACTCAGCCAGGAAGAGGAGCAAAGTTCGGATGTGTGCTAGGACACGGATGCACCTCGAAAACATGCTGAACGACAGATGCCACGCCCGAAAGAGCAAGTACAGTGTCATGTCTTCTGTGAACTAGCCAGAAGAGGTGAATGCACAGACATGAGGAGAGTGGCGGCCATCGGGTCTGGGGAAGGGGCAGGGCGGTCACTGCTGAAGGGGTGCTGAGGCTTTCTTTGGGGGATGACTAGTTTGGGGTAGAAAGGGTGGTGGTCCTTGCACAGCATGGGGAGTGCAGGTAATACCACTGGAGCATGCACTTGAAAATCAGTAAATAGCAAATCTTACATATTTGCCACAATAAAAAAATGTTCTTCATGATAAAAGAAGACATGCTGGTTCCTTGAGATTTGCTTTTGGCAACTAATCCCTTTCTTTTCTTACTAGGATGTCCCCATGGGCCAGCACAATTTTCAGAACCGCACTTTAAGGTATGGTCCACTTTCCCCGCCTCAGGACTGAGGGCCCTTTTTTAATTTATTGGTGAAAGTCCTCATCATCAGTGCAGTGATTCTGAAGGCTGCTTCTTCTAAAGAGCAGTTCCTGTGAAAGCCAGCCAGTGGCTTTCAGTGTAGAACTAGGGTTATTGGTGTGGCGTCCTCAGCAGACCGGGCGCAGGAAAGCACCACCTGCCCAGCACTTAGAGCTTGCCGTTGTTTTCTTGGAATGACTTGTCTGAATATTAATATGCCGAAGAAATGAATTTTCTTAAAATGACCATGTTGCTTAATGACATTTTTTCCTGCTGAATTCTAGAGATAAAGGCAAAAGAAAACACATCTGCCCTTGAGTTGACTCCAATGCATGGTGACCCCAGGTGTGTCCGAGGGGATATGAGCCCCAGGGGGCTTCCCTCGGTGAGTTTTCAGAAGTGGATCAGTAGGCTCTTCTGCCGAGGAGCCTCTCGGTGGACTTGAGCCTCCAGCTTTGTGGTTAAGAGCCGAGTGTGGGAACTGATGCACCACCGGGGACTCCAGAGACAAGCCTAGCTTTGTGAGAGTGAAAATGGGAGCTCCTGCCCAAGACAAGGTCTCCCCAAAATATCCACACTTGGCCCCATCCACCACAAAATCATGCCCAGGGCCCTTCTCCTCTGTAGTGTTCCTCTATCTTTTGAGCTCAGAGTTTTACTTTAATATGGGTTTGTAGGCGAGGATGGCCTGACTTCGTCTCACCTACTTTGGTCATGTTGTCAGGAAAGACCCGTCCCTGGAGAAGAATTCATGCTTGGTCAAGTGGTGGTTGTTGTTATGTGCCGTGGAGTCGGACCTGACTCAGCAACCCCACCTTGGCTTTCCAAGGGGGTATCACTACAGAAGTAGATTGCCCAACCTTCCTTCCAAGGAGTGGCTGGTGGGTTTGAACCGCCAGCCTTCTGGTTAGTAGTCAAATGCCTTAGGTACTACGCTAAGTGGAAGGTCAGCAAAATAGGGGAAGACTCTCAACAAGATGGATTGACACAGTGGCTGCAACGATGGGCCCAGACATGACAACCATTATGATAATGGCACCGGGATGCACAGTTGTACATGAGGTTGTTATAAGTGAGAACCCACTTGACAGCATCTAACAACAGCGACATGGTTTTAGAAATTAAGGGATTTCTTATTGAAGAGTCTAGGATACCTAAGGAACGGTCCAGAACTCACCAGCCTTCCTTTCCCCACAGGGAGGTCAGTTTATTGGAGGTATCTGTCCTTTTGAGGAACAAAGGAAAAAAATACAAGACTCAACATATAATTTTTTGCAGAATAAAAATTAACACAGTTAAATTACTGCTTCCCAAAATATAGCAATATATCAATCCAGAGTCCACCTATGTCCCTGCTTGTGTCGGACCAAATCTTAATATGTAGCTTGTTTAAACTTTGAAATTTTGACACTGGACGTAATGCTTAGAGTCCTTCTGTGGTCCACAAAGTTGGATTCTTGGGCTTTTACAGCATTGTTTTTTAAGTGGCAAATAGCTTATTATAGAGAATTTAAGCTAAATTTAGAAATATTATGGCCACTGTAGGAAGAGTGACTTGTAAAGCCAGTAAGAGGCTCAGATCCAGGAGCAACTGCCTATGGACATTCCACAAACAGCCTTTCATTGGAATTTGATGCCTCTTCTGTTCTCTCTCTGCCCCCCCCCCCAGTTCTGCTTCAAGGGTCTATTTCAGAGTGGCAGTGGGCTGTGCCTCACGGAGCTCCCAGAGTACTCTGGGGTGTCCTGGGTGATGTCCTTGGGGATGCCATTGCCTTGATCACCTTAGAATGGAAGAAATTGAGGCACCAAGGGTTACAAGAACAAGGGGAAGGTTGGGCATAGGGAGGAAATGGGAGGAATGCTGTTACAGTGTGAGGGTGGCAGTAAATGTCACAAAAGGGAGTGTGTATGGATTGTTGTATGGAAAACCAGTTGGCATTGTCAATTTTCACCCAAAGTACATTGAAAAATCGATGATTAAATAAAGGTCTTGTGAGTGACCATCTAAGGTACAGCTATTAGTTTCTCCCCATGTGGAGCAAAGAAGATTGAAGAAAATCAAAGGTGCATGGAAACAGTTAGTCCAAAGGATCATGGAACCTGTGAACCCCCACCTCCATGACCCTGAGACCAGAAGAACTAGACAGTGCATAGCTGCTGCTGCTGACCACTCTGAAAGGGATCACAATAGGAGGTCCTGAATGGAGTGGGAGAAAAATGTGGAACAAAATTCACAATAATAATAATAATAATAATAAAACCAGTTTACTGATCTGATAGAGACTGATGGAGCCCCTGAGGCTGTGGCCCATAGACTCTTCAGGCCTGGAATGGAACTCACCTCTGTGGCTCAACCTTCAACTAAACAATAGACGTCCTGTCAGCTGTGAGCTATAACAGCAGGGAGGTACGCTCTCCTTAGAGCAGTCAACCCTATGAGACCAGAAGGGCAGCATTGGTCCAGTATTAAAGCTCAGAAGGTAGGAAGGGATAGGAAAGAAGAAGGGGGAAAAAAAAGAAGGCAAGGTCTGAAGCATGAACCCTTCAATGTAGGATGATGGAGTTGGAAAGCCTGTCCATCTCATTCATGATAATCCTATGAGAGTTAATTGTGTGACATTGCATATTCAGTGTGATTGTCACCTATAGCTATGAGCAGTTCTGGACTCAGAAAGTGTTGTCTTTGTTCCAGAATAGAGGTGTGTTCCATTAGTAATGTGACCAGACACAGAGAGGTGCCTACTCCACAGCTGACTTGGAATCTTGGTCAGCAGTGGACTCTGTGCCCAGGGATGCTCAGGGAAACTGGAGGGAGATAGGTGAGCATTTAGTGTTTGCTGCAGGTATGTCACTTTCAAGCATGGGTGTATTTCCAGTTTCCTTCTAGACATCATCTTCATGGTAATTGTCAAAATGACCATGAGGGACTCTTGCTATTATTTTGATACAGCTTCCAGAGTTACTATGAGCCAGAATCGACTCAACGGCAGTGGGTGGCTAGTTACAAGCTATGTTACTTTATGGCTGAAATGATTGTTTCTGAGTTGAGAGAGTGGTCAGCCCAGATAGGTTTGGTTTCTGTGATTAGTGCTTTTGAAAATTGGGGAACTTTTAAATAATTATAGACAATTTAGCCTTGATATGCCTAAAATAAGACTGTTGTTGTTGTTGTTGTTGTTGCTGTCAAGTTGATTCCAACTCATAGTGATCCCATTTATTACAGAGTAGAACTGCCCTGTAGGGTCTGGAAAGCTGTAATCTTTATGGGAGCAGATCACTGAATCGTTCTCCCATGGAGTCCCTGGGTGGTTCAAACTGCCAACCTTTCAGTTAACAGCTGAGAACTTAACTATTGTACCACCAGGGCTTCTAAATAAGACTTGAGTTTCACAAATTCTGAAAAATGACCCAGGAAAACATGAGCACAGAATGACTAGTTTGTCAACCAAACCAAACATATGCAAGGAATTTCTATGCCACTGGGGCCCATTACGAAATAAGGCTCTACAGGCAGCAAGTCAAGAGTTAGTGCACCTCCCAGGAAGGATGTTCTAACGTCACAAACACTGGCTTCTTGTATCCTATGCTGAGCCATGTCAGTCAGTGCTGCTTTCAGTGCCTGGAATAATTTCATGCTATGTGAACACAAAGGTGCATCTTTGCCCAGCCAAAAACTCTCCTCAGGTCTCTCCACACAGAGTGGCCCCATGTCCATACAGAAAAGCCTCCTGGATGGACTCTCTTTTTCTAGTTTCTCTCTTTACTTCTTTAACAGGATTAAGTAGAGATTTGGCATCAGAGAAATAGCCTGTTTGTTATGTAATAATATTCTTACTAATAACATTTCATTTTTTTAAAAGAACAAAGTCACAAAAGAAAAGATTTGAAGAAGAATTGAATGAAAGGATGATTCAGGCCATCGATGGAATCAATGCTCAAAAGTGAGTACTTTTTTTTTTTACCTTAAATAGACAAACCTATTTGAAAATGTCAGTTTCCCAAAGTATTTCACTGCAAGCTCCATAGTGCTTATCATATAGCAAAGCCATGTTGCCTGAGACACTTCACTCATTTCACTGTCATTGCCATTATAGCTTCTGTTCCTCTTTTTAAAAAGTTCCATTTCTTCCTAGAAAATGTACTGTCCACATAAGTCACTGATATATGAAAAAGATGAAGCGTAGAGGGAAACTTGATGGATACTGTGATCATGTGGGGTAGTGAGTTGCATGGTGTGGCTTTTCTAGCCATAGTCTTTGTAACTCCCACTGGATTACTGGGTGGGACAATGCAAATATGTGTCAACTTGCCTGGGCAGCTGGTAGTAGTTATTTCCTGTAATGAGACTGGTAATTAACTCCATGGTGGAATTTGCCCTGAGCGACTGAGTAGCTGCTTTTAAACTCCTGATTGTTAAAGTCATCTACCTGTGGTATTTCGGTTGGAGCAGTATGAAGTAATCTTCTGGAAAAGTTTACTCTCTTTCAGGTGTGTAGAACTCTTATGTTAGGATTGGTTAGTTTTGCAACTCTGTCAGGCTTAAAATGAGCCCTCCCAGAGGCAGGGGGGATCTCACTGCCTGCTGAGAGAGACGCCCGGCTGAGAGATGCCTGGCTGAGAAACAGCAGTAGTGGAACCAAGAGGCATGAGACAGAGCAGTAGGCTTACCTGGCCAACATAGACAGAGGCCAAGCTGAGAGGCCAAGGGCCAGAGACATGTGTCTAAGGGCACACCAGAGGGGAGACTGTCCTGATCGAAGAACTGTATCCTGAGTGTGTTCCTGAACTTGAATTGTAGCCTGTTGCTTCCCTAATAAACCACATAATCTGTGAATTCTTTGTGGCCCCTGCAGTGAATTATCGAACCCAGCAGAGAGGTGGTGGGTGCCGCAGGAGGGATGTTTGGTGTCAAGGTTGGTAAGAGGGCTAGAGGGTGGTGGCATGTCTGGGCTCATAGGAACAGGCCTTGGGCTGCTGATGGTGATTCTTCTTCTTCCTCTGTAGTTAGTAGAGGTCAGAAGATGCTGCCTCCCTGCCCCTTGAGCAGATCATCAAGTGGTACTTTAACAGATAAAAAGGAGTTCTCTAGGCGAAAGTGTTAAAATTGTACCATGTGACACCACCCATCCCAAATGCATCTGTTCCCTGTGAAATCTTGAGCATGAGAGTGGGGCCTGAGGGGCAACCACCATTCAGCCTGAGAGGTGAACAGTTGCCGTTGCAGCTTTCAGTTGTTGCTGCTGGGTGCCGTGAAGTTGATTCCAACTCACAGTATCACCATGTGAGAGACTGGAACTGCTCCATATGGTTTCCTAGGCTGTAACATTTTTTGCTGAAAATAATTCAAAAACAGTTGCAGAACTATGCGGACAGGGTACTGCCAGAAATGCCAATCTGATTCAGAAAGGAAAAATAAAAAAGACTCACTACCGTCAAGTCGGCTCTTGTAACGACCCTTCCTTGGACTTCCAAGGTGGTATCTGTATGGAAGTAGATTGCCCAGTTTTCTTTCCGAGGAGTAGCTGGTGGGTATGAACTGCCAGCCTTCTGGTTAGTAGTCAAATGCCTTGGGCACCATGCCACCAGAGCTCCTATTGATTCAGAAGAAGGTGTGGAATAAAGGATATCATTGCTGATGTCAGATGGATCTTGGCTGAAAGCAAAGAATACCAGAAAGATATTTACCTGGTTTTATTGACTATGCAAAAACATTCCATTGTGTGCATCATAACAAATTATGGATAACATTGAGAAGAATGAGAATTTCAGAACACTGAATGGTGCCCACACAGAACTGTACACAGACCAAGAGGCTGTCGTTTGAAAAGAACAAGGAGATACTTCATGGTATAAAATCAGGAGTGGAGTGTGGCAGGGTTGTATCCTTCCACCATACATATTCAATCTGTGTGCTGAGCAAATAATCTGAGAAGCTGGACTATATGAAGGAGAATGAGGCGTCAGCATCGGAGGAAGACTCATTAACAACCTGCGATACACAGACGGCAAAACCTCGCTTGTTGAAAGTGAGGAAGACTTGAAGCATTTATAGATGAAGTTCAGTGGCTACAGTCTTCAGTAGGGATTACACCTCAACATAAAAAGAAAATCTTGAAAACTGGACCAATAAGAAACATCACGAAAAATGGAGAAAGGATTGAAGTTTTCAGGGATTTCATTTTACTTGGATCCACGATCAAGGACCAGGGAAGCAGCAGTCAAAAAGTCAGACAACAACTGCACTGGGCAAAAGTGCTGCAAAAGACCTGTTAAACAGCAAAGAAGTCACTGTGGAGACTGAGGTGCACTTGACCCATGCCAGAGTATTTTCAGTTGCCTCACAGGCATGTGAGAGCTGGGCAATGGATAAGGAAGACCACAGAAGAATTTACACATTGGAGTTGCAGTGTTGACAAAGAATGTTGAAAATACTGCCAGAAGAAGGAACAAATCTGTCCTGGAAGTGCAGCTGGAATGCTCCTTGGAAGCAAGGATGGCCAGCCTTCATCTCACCTACTTTGATCACGTTGTCAGAAGAGACCATTCCCTGGAGAAGAGGATTGTGCTTGGTAAAGTAGAGAGTCAGCAAAGAAGGGGAAGGCCCTCGATGAGACGGACTGACACAGTGGCTCCAGTGAGCTCGAGCCCAGCAAGGATTAGGGGCTGGTGCGGGACCAGGCAGTGTTGGGGTCTGTTGCACGCAGGGTTGCTGTGCATTAGAAATGGCTTGATGGCACCTGACGATAAACAATAATTTATAAATCAATCCAGCCTTTATGCAGAACACAAAGGACATACCTTCTTAAAATACTTGATTTTTTCTTTTTCTTTCTTTTTTTATTGTGATTTGGGTGAAAGTTTACAGAGCAAATTCACTTTCTGTACAACAGTTCACATACACTTTGTCTCATAACATTGACCACAGCTTACCACAATGCAACAGCTCCCCTCCCACTTCCTCCCGATAGTTACCTCTTCCCTGTGTCCATCTTTCCATGCACTCCTGTCCCCTGAGCTTTCTCCCTGTGCATAAGCAGCCCTTCTTTCTCCCATGATTGTTCTCTCCAAGGAGTGTATCTACCTCAGGTACATGTTCAGCTCATATGCCTGTCTTTTGTTTGGCTGGAAGCCACAGATGTGGGTTCTTCTTAAAATACTTTTGCACCCACCTTTTTGAATAGTTTTACTAAAGGCATCATTAAAAGTACAAAGACTTGCTTTGTTTTATTTTTGTCAAGGCTGCATTTGAATGTTCTGTTTGCTTTCTACCATTTAATATCTGAACACACAGCTAGTGAACACCTTTGTGTTCCAATGAAGCTTTATTCTGAAGTGAGCTTAATATTGGTATAAATGCTAATGCTGTAATTTTGCAAACAAATTCTTCAACCTAAGTAGAAAAAAAAATACCATACAGTCCTCAAAAACAAGCCAAGACCTAAACCAAACCCACTGCCATTGAGTCAGTTCCAATACATAGCGACCCCCACAGGATTTCCAAGCCTTAAACTTGATCAAAGCACACTGCATCATGTTTTACCCATGGAGAAGCTGGTGGGTTTGAACCGCCAACTTTTTGGTTAGCAGCTAAATGCCTTAACCATTATGCCACCAGAGCGCCTTCCTAAAAAGAAAAGAGAAATTTACAAAATGGAACCCATTGTGCATGTTGTTCGCAAAGTAGCTCACTCCGTTGTGCTCTGAACTCTCCTTGTGCTTTCCCATAGCATTCTCCTGGTCTTGTTTCAGTTTCCTCTCGAGGGCTCAGCAGGCCCACAGGCTTGATGCACCTTTCAGATGTGTACTGCTCACAATCTACAGATTATTTATATGCAGATTCCGTGGATGCATTGTTCATTCATTTCACACATTTATAGTCTGAGTAGACTTCATTGTTGTTTGCTTACCAGTAGATGGTAAAGGACACCAGACGCAGACTCCTCCCAAGACCTGACAGTCGAGTAGGCAAAGAGCTGCCAGCAAGTCCCCTGTACCTCATGGTGACCTCCTGGATAACAGAAAGCAAGAGTGCCTACTCCTGTTTCGTTCTCACCATTACTGGCTTGCCCCCTCCACTTCACGGTGACCTCCTGAATTACAGAAGGAAGTGATCCCCGGTCCGCACCATCCTCACAGTCACTGGCATGTCCCCTCCACCTCATGGTGACCTCCTGGATAACAGACAGTAATGGTGCCTTGTCCTGCATCATCCTCACAGTCACTGGCATGTCTGAGTCCATCATTGTGACAACTGTGCCAATCCGTCTCACCAAGGGCCGCCCTCACCCTGGCTGGCCCTTGGAGTCACCAGCTCTGAGGTCCTTCTCCAGGGACTGAGCCCTCCTGATGATGTGCCCAAAGTGAGCAATCAGCCAGTGTTCTCTGTAATCCCTGAGGTTTTCCTCAGCCGGTTTTTGGATGTAGATCCCTCGGTCTTTCCTCTTAGTCTGTTTAGTCTGGAGGCCCATGGAAACTTGTCCACAAGGGTGACCCTGCAGGTATACGAAATTTTGGCAGAACAGATTCCAGCATCACAGCCATATGCAAGCCACCACAGCATGACAGACTGACAGAGATGGGTGGCAGAGTCTAAGAGGAAAGATTAGTCATTGCACTATATACATTATGAAAGGACAATGTAGAGACGGCAGTGACAGCCCATTGAAAAAGTGAAGGTCAGTGCAAAAGGGGAAGACCCTCAACGAGATGGATCAACACAGTCACTGCAGTGATGGGCTCAAGTGCAGCAAGGATCATAAGGCTGATGCAGGGCTGGGCAGTGTTTTGTTCTGTTGTGCGTAGGGTTGCTATGAGTTGGAATTGACTTGATAGCACCTACAAACTCCTTTATCAAGCATGATACCTTTCTCCAGGACTGGTCCCTCCGTGCAACATGTCCATAGTACGTGAGACCACGTGTTGCCATCTTTACGTCTAAGGA